CCCCTCAGTCTTCTATGTGACCTCCGTCCTCCCCTTCAGTCTTCTATGTGACCTCCGTCCTCCCCTTCAGTCTTCTATGTGACCTCCGTCCTCCCCTTCAGTCTTCTATGTGACCTCCGTCCTTCCCTTCAGTCTTCTATCTGACCTCCGTCCTCCCCTTCAGTCTTCTATCTGACCTCCGTCCTTCTTTCTCCTCGGCAGCACTTCCGGTATGTGGGGAAGTCGGGGGACTACGGGGGGACGTTGGTGATCAGTGAGGCCCCCCTGCTGGTGAATCGCGTGTCACTGGTGGACCCCACAGACAAGTAAGTTGCCTCTGGAGTCATTGCATGCCGCGCACTGTCCGTGTGTGTGGGGTGAGGGGCAGATAGGAGCAGGGAAAGGCGGAGCTCTGTAGTTCAGTGGGCGGGGCTGACAACTCCGCAGTCTTTATTTATAGAATGACTGATACTGGCGGTGTTGGGGCCCCTCCCCCCTCATTTCCTGTCCCGGTGACACAGGAAGTGACGGGGAGCTCTCGTACGGGGGCGTGCCGGGAAGATGGGGATCAGCACATCGGAGGATCTGATTGGTTCACGTCGATGTGGATTCCACGTTGTTCCGGGCTCTGGGATTGGACGTCTCCAGTCGTGTCTTCTGATTGGATGACGTCCGTAGTTGGAGGTGTTGAGGTTTTTTTTTTTTTCTTTCTTGCTAACCGGAGATTGTTCCTCCAGGAAACCCACCGAGACGGAATGGCGGTACACGGAGGAGGGCGAGCGGGTGAGGGTGGGCGTGAGGACCGGGCGCATCATCCCCAAACCCGTCTTCCAGAGACGAGACGGCGTCATCCCCGAGCAGTGGAAAGGTGAGACGAATATGCCACAAGATGTCCCCGCCTCACCTTCTCCTCTCTCTCTCTCTCCAGAGGGCCCCAAGGACACGTCTGTGGAGGACGCTCTGGAACGCACGTACGTCCCGTCGCTGAAGACGTTTCAGGAGGAGATCATGGAGACGATGGGCCTGGCGGAGCCCCGGAGGCAAAGGAAATCCTTCTGGTATTAATGTTCAGCGGGGACGTGTGGGGGGAAATGCCGACCTCGGACTTCTCTAGATCGGAGGCGGAGTCGCCCTCCGGGAAATCTGCGTGGAGGTGTGATGGGGCCGGGCCGACAGTAACCCCCCCTCCCCCCCCGTGCCCCTGCTTTATACATGAACCGGTGTTTACAAACAC